GGGGGGGGGGGGTTAGCGCCAAGACGCTCTCAAACCACCCGCTGTCTTTCTCCCCCTGGGGGCAATGAACGTGCTCCCCTGAGTCTGAACAGAAACCTAGTTGCGCAGAGGCTAGGGAAAGGGAGGAAAGATCAAATCCTCCCACGATCTTGATCGGCCAAGGAGCTGCACGAAAAACAACAGCCTAGCTTTGACAAGGCTGGGCGAGATTCCAACGGAGGCAGCGAACTAGCCTCCAAGCACCAAGTCAATAAATCAGTTAAGGCCAGCAGGCTCTGCAGCTTGAAAACAGGCGCGCTGTAGCGATCGGAAAGATAAGGAATTGGCGCCCTACCATGGGGCGGCGCTTAAATGGTGGCTGCCTGCTATGAGGACTTACAGGGCTCCTAAACAGCGGCCAAAATTCTCCCCAGGGGCAATCCAAGGATCCCAGGGGGAGGACAAGGAGGAAGAGTCAATAACAGGAACATTTAAACCTTTGAATGAGAAAGGTCTGTTAGGCAATAAGGAGGAGGGGGGGGTGGCTAGAAAGTTAGCTAGCCTTCCCCTAGGCGCCCCCTGGGACTAGGAGACTTCCCAGGAGAATGGGAGTTGAAAAATCAAGTTAAATTTATGTATAACCTATAGCTCTATTTCAAGCTATTTAGGTCTGATCAGTTAGCCCTGCCCATCTGGGAACTGAACCCAGATTACATGCTTATTAGGTGGATGCTTAACCTCTAAGCCATAGAATATCCTCCTGCACAGGGCTAAGAAAGGAATAAATCAATACAACCTGATAAGAAGAAAGTTTTCTTGAGACGGCCAAGAGAACTGAAAACACTGCCTACTCTGCACGAGGCTGAGCAAAAAACTGGGGAATGCCGGCAACGGAGCCACGTGATGGAAGGCGGAGCATTCCTCAGTAATTAAGCTCAGCCTACAACGACGCAGACTGAAGCACCTCCCACTCTCTGGATGATCCGAGCAGCTCTAAGGAGAATGGGTGCCTTTTCATAAATCACCAGGAAATACAGATCTGAAGCATTCTCTCATATGATACTGGCTTCTGAAAGTAATGCAAGATACAGAATACTTACAACCCTCCAACAAGAACTGTTTGCAAGGGAGCATGGAGAACCTGGATTTTCTGCCAAGAAAACAATATGGGTGAGATGATGCCAAGAAAGTAAGGATTCAAACTTTCAGTTCCTAGAATTAGGGGTGAGATCATAAAGAGAACTAACAATACAAATCTCTTTTATTTTGAGAACCAAGAGCACAAAAAGTTGATTAGATCAATACAGATCTACAACAAGCCTCTGCCAGTTTAGGGTTCAGTGTTAGCAATATGCTGATATTCTTAAACAATATTAGGAGAAGCTATCAACATCCTGACCTGGTATCTAGAAGCTTTGAAGAATTGAATGGGACAAAAAGGCTGAATTCAAGCAAGGGCAGAGTTTTGGTTTGTTTTAGTTTTTATTATGAATTTTGTAATTTTTTGAATAAATGACCATTATATTAATTCTGATAGCATGCTTAGCCTAACTGTATCAGCCACAGTATGGCTTACTGTGGTATGCAAGTATAACAAACAAGCTTTTGCTGATATTCTACATAATTTTGAACAGTACCAACTAGATGCTTTTTGGGACTTTCCATAATGACTTTTTAAAAAATCATAATAACAATAAATAATGTATGTGATTTATTTATATAATAAACATATAGACTATTTCATATACATGACCCTGGAGAACTTATAATTAAAACCGAGTTAAAAAAATAATAAAACCAACCAAAAAGTAAAAATAACTTGCTCCAATTGCTTTGTTTTCTATTGGAGGCTTGCCTTGTTTTTCTTGTTTCTGCTGGTAGCAGTAGATTTGGTACTGAGTTATGTGCAGATGATCTATTTCAAACCTTTAACAAATGTAACATATTGCCAAAGTGAGGAATACATAGACCTTCTGGTAGCTATCTAGTCATCTGCATAACTATCTAAAATTTCTGACTTATTATTTAAGCAAGAGTAAACTACTGCAATTCATTCCATTTCCTGAGTAGCTTACCTTCATGAATGGATATTTCTCTAATGCCTCCATGATAATAGGCAATAAAACTAAAAAGAAAAAATGATTTTATTTTCATTGAATCAAGTCTGTCCCACATCTCCACTCAGTGATGTAATGGATAAGATGCACTGGATTGGGCCACTACTAATCATTCTATGAGTTATGAACACTTTCTTCCCATGTTCTGAGATAATACTTAATAATCTTAATGTATCCTTATTTAGGGGAACAAAATGCAGTATGTAGATGTGGTGTTACATAAAATCTGGTAGCTTATTTCCCAAGAAAATAGAACATATCATTCAGTAACAGCTTTGATCACACCTGTGAATGTTTGTACTATGGCTCATAATAGCATTTTAAAAAGTTTATAATCAATACATGGTCAAATGCTTATCACACTTGAAGCTAAGTGTTTTTAACAAACTTCCTTTCATTTTTTCATGAATTATGTCGGCATCCTACTGGACTTTGCCATGCACATATCCACCCATACAGAGAGTTAAGATACTGTAAATAGATTTTGCTCTGAATTTTTAAATCTGAACCATAACAACCTAAATAAATTAATGCTACAGTTTAGAAATTCCTTAATCTGACATCTTTAAATGGGTAGATTAAAGCCCTAATCATCCCCATTGACTGAAAGTAATAGAATGTTAGCCATCACCTTGAATGGTACAATTGGCGAAGTAATTATGATTTTAATGTGGAGCAAGATCTGACTAATGAACCCTTACTAGCTTGTAAACATCATAATGAATGAGAGCCAACCCTAAATATAATTTCTAGAGCTCTTCAGCACAACCCACCAGAACAGCCTTCACCAATGGAGAGTCCCCTATGTGAATTCCCAGGCTTCCCAACCAACATAGCAGCAATCAACTTGGCTCGGAGTTCTTCTGGAGGTCACCAAGTTGCAGGATGTTGCACTAGAGGACAATGCAAGGAGAGTGAATGATGAAATGTACATCACGATATCAATCACATGAAATAATGAAATGCTGAACGTAATATTCTGATATCGTGATGCACATTTCATCATTTTCTATTAAGAGTTTGAACTGGATACTTATGTTCTGATGCTGACCTCTAAATTAACATGCCAAATTGCAGTCCAACAAAAGAGAAATATTTAGCACTTACTCATGCCAGGAGCAGCCATAACAATGCGGGAAACCACCACCTGAGTTATCCCCTTGATTGCAGCTCTCTAAAACAAACAAATAAACAAACAAACAAACAAGCAACAATGACACAGTATTCATTGCAGAAAATCCAGCCTCAGAAGCAGGGCAATACTGGTGGGACACTCCTAAATGGCAATTTCCCCAGGCCTTATCTCAACACTGGACAAAATGCTAACTAGGAATCTTTATTATACCAATGATATCTCCTGTTTGCCAGGAGTAGTTCAAAAGTATTCAACTGCATTTAAAATTACAATGTATTAAAGACACACATATTTTTGTTTAAAAAAGCATTCAAAGAGTAGAACATCTTGATCTAGTTCACAGCTACATGTAAAAAAGGGCAGGCAGGATTTGTTTGTTAATTTTTTAATTAACAATGCATTCATATAATCCAAAAATAATGGAACAATATGGGATCACTCCTTTAAATGCAAATATTCCTGTTAACCAAGACAATATATACATTTTTCCAAGAAGATATTAAATAAGTTTCAATATGAATTTTATTTGTGGTCAAAGATTGGTTAGTTACATATTACTAGGAAAGCAATCAAAAGGCAGTAAAAGAAAATTCTCAAACAGTTAAACTTTTTTTTAACATATTTATTCATTCAGTATGGATGCCACCCAAATCCAACCATTTCAAACAATTTGCAGAAAAGAAAGAAGAATTAAAGCCTAAAACAATAAGCTCCACTCCAGGCTTCCTTAAGGACAAATCTGCTATTGAGGAGAATCTTTTCTTCATCTGGCTACTAAAGCAATTACATAAAAAGAACATTATAATATCTATGCTTCAATCTATACAAGATAGGGAGCGCAGCAATACATACATAATCATTTCCATTTCTCCCACCAAGCAAGGCAGAGATACTCTTGCATATTTCTCAAAATTCAGATGGTTGGCAACTGACTCATATTTATGACAGTTGCAATGTCCCAGATTCATGCAATCACCTTCTGTGACCTTCTAACAAGTACAGTCAGTGGGGAAGCCTGGTTCACTTAAGAACCAGGTTACTAATTTAACAACTGCAGTGATTCACTGAACAACTGTGGCAAAAAAGATCGTAAAATGGAGCAAAACTCACTTAACAGATGTCTCTCTTAGCAACAGAAATGCTTGCCCAATTGTGGTCATAAGTCGAGGACTACCTGCATTTTTAACTATCAGTATTGAATACATCTTGCATCAATTCAATTTTAGTTCTTTCAGTAAGGTCAAGCAATCAAACATGGGGCTTACAGTTTACAATATGTAAGATCCACTTCAATGCTTTTCCTCCAGGACAATAGAACGCTATCCAAAAGGACTAAAGGGGCAAGGGAACTCTAAGTAAAAAATAAACTTTAGCCAGAATTTTGAACAATGGAGCTGCACGTGAGTATTTAGAGCAGAAGTGTCAAACTGGATTTCTTTTGAGGGCTGGATCAGCATTGCAGTTGTCCTCTGTGGGCCGGCAGGGGTAGGAGTGGGGAGATGGAACGGACACCTGCAGCACCCTGCCGGCTGACAGGCTGCGGGGGGCCTCATGTGACACCCCCATGGCCTGTTTTCTGTCTCCACGGCCTCCTGCAACACACTGCAGGCTGAAAATGGGATGTGGGCGAGGCCTCAGGGGGGGCCCCTATGGCCCATTTTGGCCAGCAGAAGTACTGCAGGCTGGTCCTTTGACATTTCTAAGCCAGCCTCACAGGCCACAACTAAGCACCCCGCAGGCTGGATTTGGCCTGCGGGCCTTGAGTTTGACACCCCTGATTTAGAGAACCTAATCTAAATTCCAGATTCAACAAAGAGAATCACTCAGAAAAACTCTTAGAAATTTAGATTGTGTTTTTTTCTGGAGGCTTGGAACATTATAATTACAAACCTTCAAGCTAAATGTAAGCCTATGCTAAAAATATTTGTAGTGAGGCAAATATATTTACCATCTCTGTTCCCAGCGAAATATAGATTTTAAACTGTGTTCAAAAATGTCATTATCTTTCCAATAATACCTACAGCTTGCAAACCTCTCTGGAAAGACCATTACTTTGGTTTTGGCATAAAGGAGGATGGGTTTTTACAATACGAGTCAAGAGTTTAAAGGAAGGGTTTTAAACCTACTTGTATCTGAGACAGGCCAGACGCAACATCAGCAGTTACGACTGAAATAGATTTATTTGCAACATTATATGAAAACATCAGTTGACCTGGAGGCTTGCTGAGTGGCTGAACTTAATATCCATGGGGGCCTCTGATAGATAACTCTTACTTTGAATGTAAGAGGAATAAATAGCAGGGTGTGACTTAAAAAGAAAAGAAAAGAAAAATGTGTGTCTGTAAAAGCAAGAAAAGAAGGAATATTGCAACAGGTCTGCTACTCCTCTATGGGTTTCCACCACTGTAACTATCTTAATTTTCTACTCTAAAAATCATCACATTTGGCTGCATCATCCTAAATTGTCTGACAACTGATTGCTCCCAACAAGAACTCTGCCTTTTCTCCCTATCCTATATGTATGGAACTGACTTTCTAGAAGTAATCATGACACATTCCTTAATTTTTAATTAAAATTTATAAAACCAGTATTTGATTATAAAGCAATATTACAAAAGGAAATACAGAACACCAAAACAGCCAAAATGTATTTTAGAAAAAGAGGGAAAAGCAAGGATTTGATTGTCCCATGCTGCTTTTATATCAGTTGCTGTGGCCATCAATTGAGTAATGCTTTTAATTATGGTATTAAATAATAACTTTATTATAATATTTTATCCATTACCAACTTTTATTTTACCATTATTTTAGTCTAAGCATAGTTTTGCTTTACTGGACAGAAGAATGGTAGGAAGTATAACAACAAAACAGACTGCTTCATAACAGCATTAGCAATTTTGATCTTTCTAAGAGTTCTAGTTCCAACAACTAAAAAAACTAACAAAACATAAATAAGCTAACAATTTTGCATTATGAATTACACATCTTACCCTGTTTTATCCCTGCCTCCACTTTCTCTGTTATCTCCCTTGTGTCAAACTTTATATTGTAAATTCCTGTGAGCAGGGACCTGTCCTCTGGTTATCGGTAAAATGCCATGAAAACTGATGCCACTGTATAAATAAACAATAAATAATAATACTAGATATAACTTCTCTAAAATAGCTTGTCAGAAGGTTATGTACTAAAGTTTAAGAACTCCCAATATAGAGAGATAAGTTACTTGGAATACTGGTAACAAAGTAGGAATATTAAAGCATCCCAAAGAACGTTAAGGAATCTACAAAGCATATGAAATTTGCTTTTTTGAGTGGTAGTGGTGGTAATATTTTTTTGTCAAAGGGACATAATGAAGAGCTCTCAAAACTGTGTTTGGGGAAGTAGTACATGCTAATGGTAGATATTCACCACGGATAGTCAAGATATTTCAAGAACGCCAAAAATTCATTATTATCCTAATTCTTTTTAACTTCTATCTTGAGTAAGATAGAAGTAAGTTGCTGTCTTAAACCTTTAATGGCTCTGAAGCAGTGTTTCCCTACCTAAGGAATGTCCAGATATATGACTTCTAGAAAGTGCTAGCCAGAATGCTCATTCTGAAAATTCTGGGAATTTAACAGACATATTTGTATGCTGCTACATCTACTGTAATCCCACATTCCTTAATCACAATTCTTAGCATTCCCACTAACTGGAAGGGCATTAGGTTGCAGAAGTCTATATTGGACCATTCAACAACTCTAAGCTGCTCTTTCTTTAAGAAATGTTGATTTTACCATCTACCTCTTTATCTGAAATCATGTGAGTTTATGGGAGACCAAAAACAAACAAACAAAACCCATCTCAGTAGATAAACATTTGCTGCCACCTGATATATTAGCAGACAAGGCTCTCCTTAGGCAGTCAGACACATACTGTAGAGAAGATGACTCTAAATGTTCCTGTTTATAAAAAGAATAATAATAAATCAATTCTTGGATTTCAAATACCCAAGGTAACGGTACTTACCCTGGACTTTCCCAGAGTATTGTCATTTTCGTCTGTCACTGTGATCCCATTAATAAGTTCCCTAATGCAGACACAAACATATGACCTTAGACATTAAGATGAACCAGCTAGATGTTTGAGGGGAGGGTTGTACTACTCAAGGAAGCATACTACATGCAACCACTCCTTTTCTCACCATCACAACTTATCTATGAGATGAAGAGGGCTGGGAAAGAGTGGCTTGTCCTAAGTCAACCAGCTGCCTTGTCCTTTTTAAAAATGCTGTAGGAGCACTGTTATATTCAGTTTAAATCAACAATTACATTGTGAAAAAAGTCCACCCACTTGAGATACTGAGTATCTGACACCAATGATGGTGCATTGCTGCCTCCTAGAGAATCCTATTCCTAATATCAACAAACATTTTGAGGATTTATATATACTCAGCAACTCCAAATAGTAACTTGAATGTCAAAATAAAACCTGAAGAAGGTGACAAATGCTTTTTTAAATAAATTATCCATCAATATAAATCCATTATGGAATTTATCAATGGAGGCACAAATAGTTCAGGAATGAATAAGTTTAAACCACAGCAAGCTGCAAAAATGTGCTGTTCTGTATAATATTTTCCAAATATTCCTCAGACTCTCAGATCCTATCCCAGAGGTCTCCAAACTTGGCAACTTTAAGACTTCTATTAAAAAAAGTAAGTACAGATTATCGTAAAATTATAAAAAGATTGGTGACAATTCAATCTAGCAGTATAGATTTTTCCATTTGTCCCAAAATCACTTATGCCCTAATTAGCAAAGTGACCCAGTCTTTATCTTATCTTACAGATTATACAAGAGGCAAAATCTGGGCTGTAGCCAGTTCCCTACAAATACTCCTCCTGAAGCCATTGGCTAAATGACTGTGATGTCATGGAATTTTAATGAATTGCAGCTGTACAGGTAAAGATGACATCAACAAAATGTTGACAGTACAGCACCTTCTGTAAGCAAAACTTCATCAGACTGGGAGCAAATTATCATATAATAGCCAGGGAAAGAACAACAGATTAAAATATGCTGTTTTTATTTGGATCACAATTGACTGATTCAATCATTCTCCATAGCAATTAATTCAGCCCTGGGCAAAGGGACAACATAGCCATGAATGACATTTCTGAAGTTTTTCCAGCTGCCACCAGAGTCCAGGAAGCATCACACTCTGGCTTTGGTGAAGAAAAAATAAACAGTGGCCCAATTGGGGTTGGTGTCACTGAGGACAGAGAAAATTATTTAATTTACTACTTTGATCCAGTGCCTGTCCTTCTATGCTGGTGAGGTAAGGGAACCAGAAGGCAAGAAGAATGAAAGTAGTGATAAAATCAAGTTACAAATTGAAAAGAGGGATAAAAATGGAAAGAAGGAAATAGAAAGCAAGAGGACTATATGACACAGACAGTATACAGGATCTAAAGTCTGTTTTTGTGTCAAAAACGATTTTGGAGGCAGAGGTTAAAATGATAATAGGACTGTATTTATCATATAGCTTAACCTTTTTTGTGTCTTTAACCTACTTTTGAGAATGCATCTGCACTTTAGGCACATAGACACAATACAAGTGTGCCCTTTTTAGTGGCTAGTATATGATATAAATATTTAGTTGGTCGCTTCTATTGATATAGTTAACTATATGCATATACTGCATATGTAGTTGGTAAATCTAATTCAGTTTGCAAGAGGAAGGTGCAACAGCTAGCTAGGATTGAGAAAAGATACTGTAGTACAGATTGGTAGTGGGATTATAAAATTTTCAAAGTTTATTTCCTTCTCTTAGGAAATAAGTTTATAGGAAAAATAGGGAGAGTTGCATAGATGCCATTTTTGACTGGAATATTAGGTCAAATCATTAATTGTCATTGTCAAGTCAAGCAATGAGTGCAAGTAGTATTCTAATATTTTTTTAAAAAGCCAAACATATAAGACAAGAAATAAAGTGTAAAAGCAACAAATAATGTAGTGGTCTGTGGTCTAACTTCTCTGTACAAGAATATTGGTTCCTGGCATTTGGATGTGCCATACAGTACTGTAGACTGTGAGGATATTGGGTACATGCTAATTAGAGGACTAATTAAAGGCAACATATATCTTTTGCTTGTTTGTTTAGCACACACAACCCTTGCTTTGGTTTTAATGATCCACATTTGTCCATTTAATGGTCTTAATGGCCCAAAACTAGTGACTGAGATGGAGACAGTAGTGACCAATGATGTAGAAGCAAATTTCATGAAGGCAATGGAACAATTTCTCTCTGTAAAAAAAAGTTGTCTGGCTACCTGTTTCTGATATCAGTGGTAATTTTGAAAGGCAGGAAGAAAATACAGCTATTCCCATCCCCAAGCAAATGCTTTTATTCTTATATTAAAGGAGTCACTCTTAGTAAACCAAAGCTGACTTCTGTGCATTATATTCAAGAAAAACCCTCCTTCATCATGTTATTCTTTCATCCACCTCCCTCTTCTGTTGGGATTTCATCAAGAGACTTACTGTTGCCTCATCAAGGGGATATTCACACAGTTGGCAGAAGCTACTGCTGCGAATGGGACCCAGCGTGCCACAAGGGATGGTGCTCTCTGTATGGAGGAAGATAAAGCAATAAGAAGCAGGATTAATCTTTACAAGAAAAGGAAAAATAACTGAGTAGCAATACTATGGAAGCCATGGGCAATGGGCTTCTATTGCACTGACATAAATTCTTGTAATCCCACAATGAATTTGTCTCTTAGAACAAAAGTGTGCAACCTGCAGTTCCAAGGATACAAGAATACATGTATTCCCTCAGTTTCATAGTTTAGCCCTCCAGAACCCTAACAATAAAAGTCTTCAACAAACTGTGCCTTTTTAAAGGAGAAAATTAGTACCTACATCAGAGAAAAATTTTAATTGTGTTTAATTAAATTCAGTGAAAATGCAAGTTAAATAAAATTAAATTTAGATGCCTTTTCAAGGTTGTTACTATCCTTGAGTCTAACCCCTGACATGCCACTCAATTGACAAGGGTGGCCCTTAGCATAAAAAGTGCATTGTGCTTACAATCTTTGCAGTGGTGAAGTGTGGAAGAAAGATATATTTTACAGCCCAAAGGGGAAAAAAAACATTTAGAGAGAAAAGATATTCCACTCCTCCACATTAGAAGACTCAGGGCTTTTGAAGAAAACAATTATGGTCCTTACAGGTCTAAGTTCCTACAAGAAGAGGCCAGTTATGATGCCTTGTCTCATTCTTGGGCCAGCTTCCCCCTTGTGGTTAAAATTAGTAGCATTTTAGAGTTGTACCTTAGTGTAAAGATTGAGTCCCACAGCAGTTGCCAAGGCAGTGCTGGTAGCGGTGAAATAAGCCACTCCTATTTGCCTGAATTATCCAAAGGGGATATAAAATAATAAGAGTTGTGGCATTAGTCATTTTAAAACTGCAGTTGTGTAATAAAGAGTCCTATCATTCACATGCATTTTTAAAGGCAAATTTAATCACAATATACTCCATATTGTGATTATACTCCATCCTTAAACAAGAATGAGCTTTGTGAAAACTTTTTCTTTATGGATTTGTGGCTTCTCATGAAAGATCTATGATATAAAGAGATACATACACATTTTATACCTCTACAGGTGAAACTGGAAAATTAGAATATCGTGCAAAAGTTCATTTATTTCAGTAATGCAACTTAAAAGGTGAAACTAATATATGAAATAGACTCATTACATGCAAAGCAAGATAGTTCAAGCCGTGATTTATCATAATTGTGATGATTATGGCTTACAGCTCACGAAAACCCCAAATCCACAATCTCAGAAAATTAGAATATTACATGCAATCAATAAAACAAGGATTGTACATAGAACAATATTGGACCTCTGAAAGTATAAGCATGCATATGTACTCAGTACTTGGTTTGGGCCCCTTTTACAGAAATTACTGCCTCAATGAGGCGTGGCATGGAAGCTATCAGCCTGTGGCACTGCTGAGATGTTATGGAAGACCAGGATGCTTCAATAGCAGCCTTCAGCTCTTCTGCATTGTTCGGTCTCATGTCTCTCAACTTTCTCTTGGCAATGCCCCATAGATTCTCTATGTGGTTCAGGTCAGGCGAGTTTGCTGGCCAATCAAGCACAGTAATCTTACGGTCATTGAACCAGGTTTTGGTGCTTTTGGCAGTGTGGGCAGGTGCCAAGTCCTGCTGGTAAATGAAGTCAGCATCCCCATAAAGCTCGTCTGAGGAAGGAAGCATGAAGTGCTCCAAAATCTCCTGGTAGACGGCTGTGTTGACCCTGGACTTAATGAAGCACAGTGGACCAACACCAGCAGATGACATGGCTCCCCAAATCAACACAGACTGTGGAAACTTCACATTGGACTTCAAGCATCTTGCAGTGTGTGCCTCTCCATTCTTCCTCCAGACTCTGGGTCCTTGGTTTCCAAATGAGATGCAAAAGTTGCTCTCATCAGAAAAGAGGACTTTGGACCACTGCAAGAGGACTTGCAGACCAGTTCTGTTTTTCTTTAGCCCAGGTAAGATGCTTCTGGTGTTGCTTGTTGTTCAGGAAAGGCTTGACAAGAGGAATACAACATTTGAAGCCCATGTCCAGGATCCGTCTGTGTGTGGTGGCTCTTGATGCACTGACTCCAGCCTCAATCCACTCCTTATGAAAGTCCCCAACACTTTTGAATGGCATTTCCTGACAATCCTCTCCAGGCTGCAGTCATCCCTGCTGCTTTTGCACCTTTTTCTTCCACACTTTTCCCTTCCACATAATTTTCTATTAATGTGCTTTGATACAGCACTTTGGGAACATCCAACTTCTTTTGCAATTACCTTTTGAGGCTTTCCCTCCTTATGGAGGGTGTCAATGATGGTTTTCTGCACAACTGTCAGGTCAGCAGTCTTTCCCATGATTGTGATTCCTACTGAACCAGACTGAGAGACCATTTAAAGGTTCAGGAACCCTTTGCAGGTGTTATGGCTTCATTAGCTGATTAGAGTGGGACACTTTGAGCCTAGAATATTGAACCTTTTCACAATATTCTAATTTTCTGAGATTGTGGATTTGGGGTTTTCACGAGCTGTGAGCCATCATCATCTCAATTATGACACATCACAGCTTGAACTATCTTGCTTTGCATGTAATGAGTCTATCTCATATATTAGTTTCACCTTTTAAGTTGCATTACTGAAATAAATGAATAATTGCACGATATTCTAATTTTTCGAGTTTCACTTGTAGTTCTGTGACACACATAGAAAATAAAGAATGGCCATTAAGTCAAAGTAAGAGAATGTAAGAGAATGTAAATGTAAGAGAAAAAACAGGTTAGCCTACAATAGCTGAAAATCAAGAAGAATCTGGCATCGCCCTTCAAGACTAATTTTCTTAAAAGGAATAAATGTGTTTGTGAGCTACAGATGTGCCAGATTCCTTCTGAAACATGAAGTCACAGGTAATTTGTATTGGACTAAAATCCTTAATATATATAGCCACTTCCCCATTTCAGGTCCCATCCCACTTTACCCCACTCCAGCTGATACTCAGAAATAAAGCTCTGAATTGAATTAACCATGAAAACTACATACAGAAGCAGAAAAAGTAGATCTATCTCGATTGTCCCTTTCCAACAGTCAACCATTTTCTATTCCCTGAAGTCAGTTCTGGAAATACTATACATCCAAATGATAAGGTACTATGGCTAGCAAAACTCGACCATGTACCCACAATGTCTATACCGCAAAAGAAATCTCCTCTTAGCAATGATTCCCGAGAGTGCTATAGATCAAAGCTAAAGCAAAGCCAGCTAATTGGTTCATAAGGAGCACTGACTGAAAACTATAAGCTATCTGGTAATCCTGAAGAGACACTTACTTGACCGAGATGGGGCTAGCTGCATTCCGGTTGGTGTAATTCACAATGGCATTAAAAGACTGATTTACCCACTGCCAAAACACCACAGCCGGGACTGTTCTGCAAAGAAAAAAAAAGTAAACATAGATTCAAGCATCTGAGAAGGTATGTGTATCTTCCAGAAAGGTGAATGAGATAGAACCAATGTTAGCTCTCTTTCTGGAGCCATGTATTAGCCTTGATCAGACACTGATTTTATTATTATTATTATAACATTTTTATTATAAAAGATCCTATGTTATAATCAAAAACTTTCTATTAAAATGAAATTAGAACAGCTGAAATGATCCTAGGTAAACAAAGCACAAAGTTCCAGTTAGTAAAGCTGAAAAAATAGCTGAAGAAAAAGAATAACAAAAGAACAATTAGTACAAAAGATATAATAGAGTTATAGAACTGTAATTAAGAAGCGGGTTGAGGCTAAAGTTGATGGCGGGATTCTCACAACATGCGAGGCTAAAAAGTGGCAATGTTGGGCAAATCTAGCCAGTATAATTAATATAAGGTTGACTGGCTTATGTAAAGCCAGGCCACTGGGTATACTGAGAAGCTGCAAAGCATTGGGAAACAAACTCTGGCTCTACTTTGTGAGACTGACTAAGTAGTCAGTGTCTTAGTTGAAAAGCTATGCATTCTCAACATTTCATTTATCATATAACCTCCTGTATACATTTGAGCCTTTGCAATTTTTTACCATTAAAAAGCCATTACACAGAGTTGGTGCTTCTAAAACATATAGTGACCTTGGCAAAAATTATTGCTAGGTGAATTTTCATAACTTGTTCTGTGAAATAAAGTTGGTTACCTGTTATTTTAATACATTTGAAGTGAGTATTTGAATATTTGAATATTTGAAAACAAGAGTGTGTATATTTTGAGGGGATAAGGATCAAACATAACTTTTGTTGCATAAGGAAGACTGTATTTTGAACGTTAGGCAAACCATATGAAAAGAAACAGGTGACATTTAAATGAAAGTTAAAATTAAATTAAAAGTTGATTAGATCATTAATACTTAATCATTTCTGTCTTCTGTCAAATGAAAACATTTGGTTGGCCCTGTCTTTGGGGAGAATAGAAATACCAGGCTTCTAGACCCTGGGATCTTGGGTTATATACCTCTACTCTAAGTATTTGCGGTCGGGGGGGGGCAGAGTCACACACCACACACATAGTTTATCTGCTAAATTTAGCATATTAATGAAATATGACTTCATCCACGGTTTCTAATTTATTAGAAACTAGGAAGCAAAATAAGAAACTGTGTTACTGCTTGGCATATTTCTCCCCACTGATACTGTTTTGGATACAAGTATTGTATCCACTGTATTACTAGTAAATAAATACATCACAGAATTATGAAATAAAAAGGCTCAATCATGCCATCCAAACCAAGCCTCTGCTAAGTGCAAAAATCCATATTAAAGCATCCTGGACTAGGATTCATATATACTTGTTCTTATTAATTTTTCTCCTCCTCCCCAAATTTTATCTGCACAAAGTATAGATTGTTTATCTCAATCTGAGACCCCTCTGTCTTACCCCGACATGCAGCTTGTTTTTAGACTATCCCACAAGCCTTCCTTAATTGATATCAATGTCAACTATTGGAAATTTTTGTTCTAAAATATACAGTACTTGCTTAAAGGATAAAAGAGAGCAATGAACCTCAGAAAAAAAAATGCCCCTTCTTACCTGTAAAATTGCAGCATGCAGCCTGTGATAGCCATTCCTCCAGGGACTTGAAATGACATTCTCCCTATTAAATTCATTTTCTCCCCTGAGTCGGGATGGAAAGCTGAGTCATAAAGCTTCTTAGCGTAGAAAAGCTGTTCCTCACTGGTTCCAGGGGGGACTGAACCTGCCCTAGAGGTGCAAAAAAGAAATACCTTCTTAGTTTTATACCTCTTAGTGATTTCAGTATATAGCACATGCCTCTTTAAAATGGTGCACTGGAGCTTCAGAAGACACTCTCTCTTGAAACAAGCGTGAGTGCAGGTTGGGGGTCTTAACATTCAAATTTGTTGTATGCCAAAGCACTTCAATGCAATCTACAATGCGCAGAGCTGTACGCAAGAAAATGAAGAAACTCTGATACTCAAGGCAGAAAATCTAAACTCCACACAATTAGCAGAAGTAAACCAACAATATTACCCTTTTGGATGATTAAATCTTCAAATTGCATCAAATCAGGTGCTTGAAGCAGCTGTCTTATTCTGTCTAGTAAATAAGGCTGGTTCTGTTTGTATAATATTATGCACAACTCTGCCTTGCATTTCAATTCACAAGAGTGTGGGATTTCAATACATGTAGATTTAATTTTCTAGTAGTAAGCTCCAGGCAGAGAAATCCTTTTGTTATGAAGGGTTTCCTTTTGTGAAAGAGTCTGTTCTCAGAAGAGGTTTGAGTATCCATTTAAGAATTATCACCACCCAATGGCAATGACGAGAATGAATATTTTTAACAAGAATGAATATTTTTTTAATTAATATTTTTTATTTATCTATTTATATTAACTTATTTGCTGTTCATCTCGCCCAGAGACATTATCATTACTGTTGGTTAATGTTCCACAAATAAATGCACATAATCATGTGAAGAAAATGAAAAAAGGGGAAAAGATAACAGAAATTTTTTAAAAAAACAGGTTTAAAACAAATTAAAGTTAAAAATGAGAAAAAAATAATAAAAACATTAAGTCCTAAATTCTGTTTAATTGTAATTGATTGATTATACCGAAAAACTTATAAAAATTGGAATTGGTTCTAACTACTGGTTTTACCTCAATTATTTCCCCTTTTTAAAGAAGTACTGTCAAGTTTCTGTATTTGACTAAATTTATATGATGTCACACAACAAGGCAAACATCCATTCTTGGTGTATGTTATTCATTTTGTCACTAATGTGTATTTGTCAAATTTGGTTTTCTAGTCTGTAACTGTCGATAAAGTGTCTCTTTTATAGTAATGGATCAAATTTGTCTTTGCAATTGTCATCACGTCTGATTAATATCTTAGTTTTATTGATACATTTGAACAGATGCAACTCTTAGTTTTTATAGGTTCCAAATTTGATTGATATTATTCAGCAACCTCCCAGTTGGCTACCTGCAGTTCTCTACAATTGTCTTCGCTGAATCCAACGTTTGCTCTGACACCAGCAGCGTCCTTGGATCTGTGATGTTGAAAAAGTGCTTTACACGCCCCCAAAAAGTATTCTGGTCCCAGCGAGGGGCATCAATATTAAACTTGGCAATACTTGCCATTGTTCACTGCAGAGGGAATACAGAAGAAAGGACAACTTGTAAATCAACACTGTAGCTCTCTGCTTTTTTTTGCCAAGCTGTTACCCCAAAATTGTGAATTACTTTTTAAAGACTGTAGACAAAGGAAGAATGTACCTGTTAGCATTTTGTCCTACTGATTTATCAATTCTTTGCCCCACAGATTTGTGTGAAGAGAAGATGAGAATTTTGCTTGCTAAGCGAAACAGAGGAAGGCAGCAAAAGACAGCTGGTGAATTTAGCTGCTGCACCCTCCAAAAAAATATTTACAAGGCTTGCCACTTGTCCAAAACAAATGAACCAGATCTATTTAGTATGCACAGCCAGCATTTAGTCACAATTTCATACTACAAAAATTGGATTTAGCAATTTTTTGAATCTATAACACATCAATATAGTTTTTTACAAAACACAATAGGTTTTTGGTTGTTAAAGGAAAACTGCAAATAAAACATATACAAAAAAACCACAATAGGTTAAAAAAACACGATAATTATACTATACAAACTATTCTAATACTGTATGTAAGAAACATATGTACTTGAATAATTGCATTAAATAATCATGTCAAATTGTAACTATTTATTGTTACCATAGTGTACTTATATATTTTCTTTTCTTCGTGGTATTTTTCACTTTTAAAAAAAATTCTATGTTTTTTATTTGTTTAATAATAGAAGTATAGTTATTTTGGGTTTTTTTCTGTTTTTGTCACTAATTTAAAAAGCAATAAAATAAAAAACAAACAAACAATTACCTAGGAATTTAGTTTCAATATGGTGGACACAAAGATTCTGGAAAATCCAAGAGCTTTTTTTTTTTTTGCACCTAGATAACAGGATCCTATCAGGTATGAGCTTGATAGATAAGCCAAGATCAGAAGATGGCCCAAAGATGGATAATTCTCATAATCTCAATTTTAATGGACATTTGAAATATTGTAATTGATAAAGAAACTTCTGAAAGGATTGGAAATTATGTGTAAAAGCCAATTACTAGCTCATATGATGTTTGTTCAAGCTATGAACTTTGATATTAACCGAATCACAGGGTGTATGTTCAGTCATTCAAAAATACTATCCACTCAAAGCAGGGGAGATTTTTATTGGCCTGTTTTCTCCATAATGGGTTCTTAGTCCAAATGGAAACTGCTAAAATAATTGTTACACATTCCTAAGAAATGCTGCATGTACATTCTCTTAAAACACAGTCATCTTCAAAATTAGTGCAGTGTTAAAACAGATCATAAATATCATCCTATAGGCCTATAAGTAGTCTGTTACTGGTTGGTGTCTTCAGCGAACATTCAGTAATGCAACCCACATCCATTCTCTGAAGTCCTAAAAATTCTAAGAACTGAATGCAGCAAACTAAGAATGTTTTTTTGAGCTCCAAATTGTTATGTAGATTTGGACAATGGCAGTAATGCTTAACATTTTTATATAGTCCCCCTTTTCCCCTAATCTATCTCAGCTAATATCCTACAATGATCAATGCCTTCTTCTAGATTATTGTAACTTGTGCTGGATATGGGTTGGCCCTGAAAAAATATTTAGAAACAACTAATGCAAGCAGCACTTGGTATGCATGTTAAAATGAGTCCTGAAATAACTTCATTGAATTCCAATTTATTTCCAAATTTCTCTGAGTTGCTTATTCATACCTGTATACCTTGGACCAGGTTATCTTGAAAACTACTCATGCCAACGCCTGCATTATGCACTGAAGATTAGCTTTTATGTCCCATATCTGAGAGACTCATAATTTCAGGGACAGGAACTTTCAGTTATAACTATACTTAAAATTCTCAATATCTGGAATTTTTGAAAGTACAGTTTGCTAAACAAGCATCAGGGTGGTTGTTTTGCCTGTAATGTGGATTCACAGAACACATTTTGCCAAAAGCAGATACATCATATTATTGGTGACCTTTGCAGGTTTGAGTTTAGGAAGTTTTTCCCCAGAGAGGCAGGCTGGCTCCCTCAGTGTGGATGACAGGTTAAAAACTATGTTTTGCCAAAATTTTAATAATTATTGCCATTTCTTCAATTTAAAAGGCTTTTAATGTAATGTATTCATTAAAACATATTGTAATATTTTTATTGTCTTTTACTGGGTTTTTAGTTTTTGTTAACTATTACATTTTATTCTTATGAATTTTCCTTTAAATGATTTCAAAAGAATGGGGAAAATTGAATCTGAATAATATATTCAAAAAACAGAGGTAAACACCCGCAGTGCTATTTAAATAATGTTTCTATCGTCAGGGGTTGTACACCTTTGGACTGTAGAGCTGTTTTAAAGATGAAGCATTGCTGAAAATATACTAATATCTAACACCACTTTTTTTTAATTGCTAGAAGCTTAGGTATTCCAGTTCTATGTGCATCCCCCAAATATGTCATTATTGAAAACACCTGATTATAAAAGAGAGAGAGAAGTCTTTCACAATTTTGCATCTGCCCAATTCAGAAAAAACAACTCTTAAGAAAACTCACCTCTATTTTTGTCATAACCAGAATGAAGACAAGATCTTTTAACAGAGAGATAGAGAGATAAGGGGCAGGTATTTGCTTATGGTGTTTCAACCATATCTCTTTTGTTTGTTTCAAGGAAAAGCAAGCTAAAATAAAATATTGATGCAATGGAGTTCTTAAAACAGAGGAACTTTTCAATACTAATTTTTAACTTATTAAAAAACCAACATGCAAAATGTTTAAGCTTTCCTCCAGACAAAGGTGTTCAAGACTAGCAAAATAATTTAAAAATTGTCTGCAGCACCAAGCTTACTGTCTATGAAGGAAGCACTACTTATCTTGCTAAGCCACAGTTTATAAATCACAAAGGCAGGGTTCACAAATAAGCAGAGAATAGCCCTTCTCTGCCTGAGGCTGTAGAGACCTGCCACCAATCAAAACACTGCTTGTGCAGCAACTGATCAAGACTGACAGGGTAAGCCACTAGTATATGAAAATAAAAACAAACTCCACTCCCTTCTAGTACTGATGATGTTACCTACTTTGGTAATAAAACATCTGCGAGAAAACCATAAAGCTCAGAGAGCACCAAGGACCCCACAGTTCAACCTGAGCTACAAATATTCTCTTCTATCGATAAACACTTTTTGGTTAGAAAGACTCAGAGCCTGCCGTATGTGAGATGGCTCCCAATGGATTTCTTTCTAAATTTTGATATGATTTCTGTAAATAAGGAATGTAGAATTATAATGGCTGAATATCTGATCCTTCATACATAAAAAAATACAAAGCTAAGGGATAAAAAAATAAACAGATTTAAAAAAAAGAAAAGGCTCAGGATAGAAAAAGAGTAAACGTGTAAGTAAGAAAGAGGAAAAGAAAAACCACAACTGCTAAGGAAACCACAATTGATTTATTTAATTGCACCAAACTCTAAATAAAAAAGGAATGGAAAATCCTAAGCTCTAGTGTAGACTCATGTTTTTCAACTTTGGCAACTTTAAGGTGCATGGACTTCAATTCCCAGAATTCCCAAGGCAGCATGAAGTCCACCCATCTTAAACTCTTGGGGATCTCGCAAACTTGGAAGGTCTGACTGAACTTTTAAAAAAACTGGTAGTCACATGGTCTTCTTTTGTTGCCCTGCATGCCAGAGAACAGAGCTGGAAAGCAGGTCAATGAGGGAATTGTGGTTGCTCTGGGATGAGGTGGAAGTGCGGATTTTGCATTATGATGGCTCTGGGATTGGGTAGAAGTGAGGATTTTGCATTATCATTGCTCTGGGATGGGGTGGGAGAGAGGATTTTGCATAATCCTCACTTCCACCCCATCCAGAGCAATGATAATGCAAAGTCCTCACTTCCACCCCATCCAGAGCCATCATAATGCAAAATCCTCTCTCCTACCTCATCTGAGAGCGTGATAATGCAAAATCCTCACTTCCACCCCATCCCAGAGCAACCACAATTCCCTCACTAACCTGCTTTCCAGCTCCATTCTCCTGTGTTCAGAGCAACAAAAGAAGACCATGTGACTACCATTTTAAAAACATTTCAGTCAGACCTTCCAACTTCACGAGATCTTTCCCACCCGCCCCATGAAGTTGTAAGGACTGACTGAACGTTTTTTAAACTGGTAGTCACATGGTCTTCTTTTGTTGCCCAGCATGCCAGAGAATGGAGCTGGAAAGCAGGTTAGTGAGGGAATGGTAGTTGCTGCAGGATTTTGCAGGAGGCTGTCCAGGCCAAAACGGGCTGCAGGGGAAGGGCAGCCTCCCAGCTGATCAGCATGGCCGGTTCATTCTCCGACTCCCAGCTGATCAGGCATGCCCCTTCAGCCTCCCCACCCTAAATGGTAACCCTTGTGGGCGGGGCGGGGCCAGCCAGTGGTGGGATCAACTGGTTTGCCCAACTACACAAAAAATTAACAACCAGTTTGGCTGAACTAGTGGAAACTGGCTGAATCCCACCACTGCCTATACTCCTTACCTACATGGGAGAATTTCTGGCTGTTCAACACAATGTAGTATATAAATAAATAAGATTATTCTGTTTACAATTGCATAAGCACATTTCATTGATTTACTGGCACATTTGATATAAACCTGTAATTTTAGTTAAAATACTTGCTAACGTGGGATACTATTTAATAGTCACCCATTCTAAACCACGATGTGCGAAAAGTCACCACTGAAAGTTTTATTAGACATTTTTCTATTAAATTCACAAACCAATTTGAGACAATATTCTTTATATTGTTTATTACCAGCTGAACAGTCTTTGAAGCACAGATGAATAAGCAGATAAAATGAACAACTTTTCTTCTGCTCTTATTTTTTAATGAACACTTGAATGAACTTTGACAAAACTTAGTTTTATTTTGTTGTGTATAACACTTTACTCTGTCCGATGTCCCTCCTGCTATATTGCATCAATACCACTTTGGCTGCAAAATCCAAGTTGGAACAAGCTAATATATGGGCATAACAGATTTCCCATACAAAGCAGTTATGATAACAGGTAATAAAAGGATTTAGAGTGCTATGCTCGGATGAAAAATAAGGTCATATTTTACTCCAATTCAACATCTTAATCACAAGTTACTCCATATAATCAAGAAAACAAAAAAAAAGATGATAGGGCAGAACATGCTAATTTTGTTTTTGACATGGTTGGAAGAGTAATACCAAGAGCAGCTACAATATCAAGAATGTGGGAAAGATTTGTAATTTTACTGTGGTGAAAAAGCAAAAAAATTCACTTAAAATAAAGTGTAGCCTTTTTTTTAATATTCTGAATTTTTCCTAATGCTCGCAATAAACTATACTACATTTGTGTGAAAGTTCTGAGTTCTTTAGTGTGTCATTGTGTTTAGAATCAGGACAACAGAAAACAAAAATACCCTCTTCAACCAGAATATATGTAAGATTTTTAAATAATCATAGTAAAAATGTGCAAAACTGTTTACAGGCAGTTTAAATTGAGTTACCTTATTCAGCAAGTGTACAGGCTGACTTTTTGTTACAAAATAATTAGTTCTCAAAAGACTAGGGCAAAACAGAACTAAATGCCCTTGACTGCTAAGTAAATATTCAACTTCTTTTGTTAATGGACAGCACACTCTCTTAAAACTATCGGTACAGAGCTCCAGAAATCAACATAGAGGACTTTGACCACAGGACTGAAAACTGATGGAAAGAGGGGAGAGCACTGAGAGCAGAAAGGAAGCACTTATTATTTTTTAGAGACGAAAAATTAAAACAATGACAGACACATAATTATTTAATTATATCACATTTACATCTGTAAAATAAATTGGAATATCACAAACCAGAAAGGATCTCCTTACTGCAAACCCATATTTGGATACTATACATAGACTGATATCCAATTTGTACATGGGACTGAGAACTAAAATACTAAAAGCTATATGGTTTGCATCACCAACTGTAGATCTCCTATTTATGGGGCTGAGCAAATCCTTCTCCAGATTCAATAATTCCCACAAATGGGAGCTTACCATACATTGACTAGGTTTGCTCAATACATTACCTAAGGTAATTTACCTAAGGTAATACCTAAGGTAATTTATGGCTCAGTGTTGCATGGAACCTGACATTTTAAACCATAATTTGATTTAGGGACAGTATTTTATAAGAACACAACAACTATGTTTTTATGTCCAGTATATTATTTTGAATCCAGTTGGCAAATTGGAAGATGGTGCTTGAGAATATGTACAGTACCTGGTTAAGTGCCAAAGAGGAATTCTACTCAGTCAAAGGTAGATTGTCAGCAATGGTGGTTAATCTATAACCAGGATCAAGATGTTTTGAGGGATCTGAAAATACACATAAAATCTACTTAAACACCCCAATTCCATCTTGGAATTTGGTCAATGAATCTGTCCGTACAAAATGTACAACTTCACCCCCTTTGGCTATAGAAATAACTTTTCATACAGGTTTGAACTCAAGAACAACCAAGTACTTCTAGTTGTAGTTGCATGTATGTAAAATACGAAGAGTTTCTGACAATCTTAAAGTATTCCTTTCTTATGCCAGGAACAATATGTTAGAAAGAAATTGTTCTCATATTTATTTTTATTTAAGAAATAAAACACACATTGAGTAGCATAAAAATTATAGGCAATTTTCCTGGAGTAGCAATGTTAACATTCATAACTTAGGGCACAATCTGAAAACATGTAACATAGAAATGTGCTGACGTTTAAAGAAGTCTGGTAAATATCCAGATGAAAAAGAGGTCCTTGGTGCTTTCTGAGCTTGGTTGTTTTGTTTGCAGAAGTTTCATTACCCAAAATAGGTAACATCGTCAGTGCTAGCAGAAACCTCTGCAAGAAAACAACCAAGATTAGAGAGCACCAAGGACCAACCCATCATTTCAACCCTGAGTTACAAATATTTTCCTTTAGGATTTGGGGACCTGACGTATGCTATTTGGGGGAACAAATGCAGGCTATAAGTAAAGCTCTGTTTAACATTAATATGTACTACTACTACACATTCATTAGCTATCACAGCTGTATAAACCTGCTGTATACAGATAATGTACGTAATTATGGAGAAGGCAAAAAAACAGGACAGCTCAGTTGATCTGCTGAATATATACGGCAGGCAGGCCATTGCTTGTGTGCTCAAAACCTTCACATTACTTTGAGATTTATCTTCAAAGCAATACCGGCATGAATCATTTACCACTCAAGACCTGGCTTGATTTTACATCTTTCCCATTCGAAATGGCTCCTTCTACAACAATCTACCTTAAAAGCCCTTAAGTCATTTATTCCCCCTCCAGTTCTTATATTCGCTGAACCTAAGTGACTGACAGTAATTTCCTAAATTTATGTCCTCAAGTTATGGGTTGCTGCAGTCCAACACAACACCGAGTTCCGGAAGATGAGCGTTAATCGTTCCCTGCAACCAATGCATTTACTTAAAGCAGAAAGTTTGTAAAAGTCAACCTGGAGTTTGGGTGGCCATCATATTTCTCTGCTGAGTAGGACTCTGAATTCCCTCCTGACATTGCCACCACCCCATGCCACTCTTTTACTCCTAGCTATCAGAAAACCCTGAAGCCACTTTTCCACTAATGCCAGAAGCGAGCCTTTTGTGTCCCTTCTGATCCCCTCCTCCCTTGCCAGATTGAAAGACAAGCACTTATTCCGCAATCTTTCTAGTTCAAACTCCTACCTGTAACTCGCCAAACACCACTCGGCAAGACACACACGCCTCCCCCTTGAAAGCACATGGATAATAACTAATTTCCCCCCATCTCTCCGCCCCCTAATAGTTGGGACGCGTGGCCCTTCGCAACCAATCCAAAGACTCTTCACCCAAGAAAGAATGAGCTGGTCTCTCGTTTAAGCCGCATGCGCTGAACCGAACGTGCTTTTTAAAAAAAAAATTAAAGAAGCGAGTGGGCGGTGTCTCTGAAGTCAAGTCCCTCCTTCGCTTTGGACCGCCCAGAGAGCACCCAAGACGGACGTTCTACGTAAGAGAGATGCAGTGCGCACGCGCCTGCCGCAGTTGCCCATGGTAACCTAGAGCCGCGTAGAGGATGGTGAGTGTGAGATTGGAAGGGGGAAAGTGTGGGGGACGGAGGAGGCTGGGGAGGGGGAATTATGGTTACCCCCCTACTCCAATTCCTGGCGCCCACGATTGTGGAAGAGAGCCGTTCCTCGGGAACAGAGTGCTTGATACGGAGGGGAGGCCGGTCGAAAGCGATGGAAGTGGTCGAATGGGCCTGAATAAAATAAAAGGGGGGCGTGGGGGGAGGAGCGTGAATGATTTCTGCTTGGAAAAACTGTTCAAAATGACTACCAGGAAAAGGGGGTTGAGATTGAACGATAAAAGTGTTCCAGGAATAGGGCTTTTCGCTCCTTTTAGCATTTGTACATCCCATGTGCTTATCTACTGTATCGTGCTCTTTGGAACTGTTAAAAGAGCCTGAAATCAGGATACACTATTCATTTATGTAAGTTAGCCCCGAGTCTTAAGGCGATCGTTTCTATCTGTGGCATTGAACTGGTGCCATTCAAAAGACAGTTTCTTAATCTTGTAGAGACATGTGACTGCTGAGGAGCTTAGCCTTTGTAACCTGGAGTCTCCTGGGGACGAACTGACCCATTTTAGAAGTGGAAATAGCTCAGGGGGAGTCCTGTCGATTTTTTCCCTTAAGGTGCAAAAGTGCCTGAAAAATAGTGTTCAAATGCATCTTTCTAGAGACTTTTAAACAAATGTTAGAAAATGAATATTTTTTTAATTCTAATACTAGAGGGTTTTTTTATTATTATATGCCATAGGTGGCCAATTTTGAAATTGTCCAGCTAGACTGCACCCAGAATATGATAAGTATTTAAGAGCCCATCGGGTATTGATAGAAGAGATTTCCTTTTATCATGCTAAATCAGTGATAGGCAGAGGGATTGTACACTTAATATAATCCTGCTGTCAACATTCTGAATGGATTTGACGGGCAGGAATTGGAGAAAGCCAGGGAGCAAATGTGAAGGTGGGATTGCTGATACTTACAGGGTAACTGCTGTTTTTTTGCTAGTGGATGGACAAGAGCTAGAATAATATTTAATAATAGCAATTTATTGCTACTCTGGTTGGTATTTAATAATGTCTTTGGTGAACTGTAATAGTTTGGTGACAATTCCTGATTATGCTGCTGAAATAAGAGGAATTTGGGAGAGAAAATTAAGAGGACACCAGACTGAAGAAGCCTGCTTTATAAGCTTAAACTTGCGGCCTAAATCCTAAGAAAGATTTTTTATAGAAATTCAGTTACGTAGCAAAGAAACTTTGAAGTAAAACTGAAAAAGAATCTTAGACTAAATCTATTTTATGGAAAATAGATAGGAATAAGGCACTTAAAATATGCTTAAGTTTGTATCTTTATATCTTCTTGAATAGTTATCATTTGTTCCTTTTCAGAAAAGGACTCTGAAAATCTAAGGCAAATAATGATAATATTCAAATTAAATTTAAAAAATAGTGATATTTTTTGAAAAAATGGCTCAAAAATATTTTAAATGGTTTCACCAAATTATCTGCCAAATTAGAGGACCCATTAAATGTATCTCAAATAAGAAAAATTGAATTCAGTGCAAGAGATTACTGAAAATTAAACTGCCAATAATATTCTTTGGACAAATCTGTGATGTACCACATTTAGAGTTCTGTACAATTCTAGTTCTAATTATTTAAAAAGATGATGTTGTACAGCTGGAATAAGTGCAGGAAAAGGATAACCTCAGTGATAATTGAAGCAGGTGAGAGAAAAGAAAGCAATTCTTCACATAACATAATTTTAAGCTATGCAGTTATCACAGGATGAGGTGCTTGTCAACTATAAAAGGAGATTAGTCATATTAATGGTTGTTAAATCTTCTAATGGCTCTAAATAATACGAGTTATATCCTATTTCCACGATCTGATATGGGTCCCCCTGAATATTAATTACTGGAAAGCTGCTAGACAGGACATTTCCTGCTTTGGGCTATCAAATAGGCCATTCCAGTAGGCCAGCCGTAAAGGAAACAAATCATTGTGCTAGAAAGGTTATATATGACCTAGAAGAATTCATGCTATATTTTTTACTTTTTTCTCTTGTACTCTTCTCAGATTCTGTTTCTCTATTAGCTGACATGGATTATGATTTGAAAATAAATGTTTCTTATAAAGTATTCCTGAAATATAAGTATGCTATGAAATGGGATAAATCCCACTGATTTTTCCCATCAGGTAGTTTTTGTTTATACTATCTTCAAAATTAAGAAAACGGTGTTAGTAATGCCCTCCAAGAAAATATCTTTCACTTACCCAAAATATCCCTGTGATACATATCTGTATAAATAATTTATCTTTCTAAGTTTTTCTGGAATTTCATAGTTGATACCCCCATTCACTAGAAGCTTTATACTGTATAATTATATGCAGTTGAGAATGTTTACATACATGGAAAAGAAAAGCAGCAAATATTTATTTACATTGAACACTGTTCTGTTGCTAAATTAATTTAAAATGTATAATGGTCCCAGAGAAAAAGTGGCTGGTGGCTTTTATATTGTGGGTAATATAAGACAATTGAATGTATGCAAAATTAGGTACAAAATTAATTTGTATGTTTCTTTTCTGAAAGTGAATTAGTTTTTTAAAAAAGTACCATTTGTTTGCCTAGTTTAACAATAGAGCTATCAATGCCTGAGATTTATCAAACAGAGTCTGATGCTAATTTGGTCTGAGAGAACAAGTGAAGCCCATGATCATACAGCTGGTTTTTACACTTAAGGGTTGTCTAGAATATGTGTTTTTTCACTCTTAACTCAGCATTTGCAACGAGTACACCACATCAGTTCTTGCAAAATCAAAATTGTGTGCAGTGAAGTGCTATATAAATATAGAAAATGAGCTCTATTTCAAAAAAATAAATATATCATAGAAAAATTAGATTCCTCTTTAGAACTGTAAAATCTAGTTCAAATAGGTGTTGAAAATGACTTAAATAGAGGTCACTGTAACTTTTCTTCCTGTAGATCTTGCAAATGATATGTTTTTAGCACTTTCACTTAATATTTATTTAAATGTGACCAAATTATATTAATGTTTTATTTGTGTTAAAATTGTGACCAAAATTAATATTTATATAGGATTTTTTCTGTGTCTCTAATAGCCAGTGAAGTATATTCACTAAGGCTTGGGAGTTAGGTTAGAGCAGGGTTGTCAAACTCGCGGCCCAGAGGCCGGAAGCATCACTTGCTGGACAAGTCTACCTCTGGTTTAGCAAAGGGGAGGAGGAGTCATGATATGTCACATGACAATGATATAACAATGGGAGTTTGACACCAATGGGTTAGAGATTACAATCCAGATCCAACCTTACTGTGGAAACTTACTAAGTAGCTTTGAGTAGTCATTCTTTGACAGTACAATCTACATCACAGAATTGTTTCATGAAAATAAAATAAAAAGTTTCCCTTGTGTATCATTTTGAGATGCTGATGGGATCAAATAAATACACACAATTGCCATAAGTGAAATAGGGTATCATAATTAAAAGCTAAACAAATTAATTTTTGAGCAGTGATGATTATTGGGAAAGACATATACAGTATATGCTTTCAGTTTGATTTCCCCCTTATTAGTGCATTTCCCAAGCTGAATCTATACAAACTTCAATTATTAACTTACATTCATAACTCTGCAAAATTGCCCTCTTGATTAGGCAGATTAATCATTGCACGTATAGGGAACATACTTTTAATAAATCATATACTTTAATATGGAAAAGGGCTGTGGATAGTTGAAACTGAACCTTACATCTCTGGATAGTTGGAACTGAACCTTACATCTCTGAAAATATTGATTTCTAACAATTCAAGCCTTTATGAGTCATTCTTGTCTGCCTCTGCATTCCTGCTGTAAAAAAGACTGAAATAAATTTTGAAATGTTAGAAAATGGAACTTATTATACATTTAAAGGTCCTAAAATCTAAATAGTGCCTTAGCTAAGCAAAAAGGCTGAAGTGTAGTAATAGTCCAAAGTGAACTAGGGTCCATATTGAAGAAATCAGGATAAAATCAAGTGGCAGAATTAAAATGGTAGAAGGGAATGAAATAAAAAATCAATCCAGAATCAGAGACACACTTCAGCTCAGCTAGATCCTGTTGCTAACCCTTTTCTACACAATTCTACACAGAAGATACAGCTTTGGTAAAGTCTTGTAAAGATGTTTCACTAAAAAAATTGTAGTGAAAAGTTTTAGCACTCAGAAAAGTAGTTAGTAGTTCCTTCCATTATGATGTCACAGTCTTAGGATAAGAATAGCAGGATCAGTTAATATTCTGGCTCTGATGCTAGCTAGGAGACTAATCAACAGATCAAGGATAAGAATGAAAAGCCCGGCAGTCCTGAAAAGAGATGGAAAGTGCTGTTATGTATTATGTTAGTATTTAGGAAAATATATTTTTATTATTTTGGATACAGCTATGTAAAGATTTAAAAATACTTATTTCTAAATAGAGCAGCTATTGGTAAAGCTATTAGATTGTTTTCAATGATATTACTCCTTTAATCTGGATCCATTAATATAACTATTTCACAGTATTTTTAGAGAACTTGCTAGAATGCAGCAAAAGCAATTCTCGCCACCTTAGCACATGTTTTTTAAAATGTTTTCATTGTTCACTTCATCAGATGCTTGGAATAGAGCCCTTAAAAGGTACAGAATACGTAGACACAGT